GTGACGTTTCTGAAGAATTTTAACAGTTTTCTTGTATCTACGAACGCCAGAATGCATAAAATTGACCTAAACGTCTCCTTTTCCTATTCTGAGTCGATTCTGCATGCTTTAAGTGTGTTTGGTGGCTCAGAACCATCAAAAAACGTTGAAATATAGTTCAAATTCAATAAAAATCGACAAAAATACAGTTTCTAGCTATAATTTGATGGTTTCGTTGCACTTTCCGAGCCCGTAGGGTATCTGATTGGCTTAAAAGTACAAGAAAACACTTCAAAAGTGACGTTTCTGAAGAATTTTAACAGTTTTCTTGTATCTACGAACGCCAGAATGCATAAAATTGACCTAAACGTCTCCTTTTCCTATTCTGAGTCGATTCTGCATGCTTTAAGTGTGTTTGGTGGCTCAGAACCATCAAAAAACTTTGAAATATAGTTCAAATTCAATAAAAATCGACAAAAATACAGTTTCTAGCTAAAATTTGATGGTTTCGTTGCACTTTCCGAGCCCGTGGGGTCTCTGATTGGCTTAAAAGTACAAGAAAACACTTCAAAAGTGACGTTTCTGAAGAATTTTAACAGTTTTCTTGTATCTACGAACGCCAGAATGCATAAAATTGACCTAAACGTCTCCTTTTCCTATTCTGAGTCGATTCTGCATGCTTTAAGTGTGTTTGGTGGCTCAGAACCATCAAAAAACTTTGAAATATAGTTCAAATTCAATAAAAATCGACAAAAATACAGTTTCTAGCTAAAATTTGATGGTTTCGTTGCACTTTCCGAGCCCGTAGGGTATCTGATTGGCTTAAAAGTACAAGAAAACACTTCAAAAGTGACGTTCCTCAAGAATTTTAACAGTTTTCTTGTATCTACGAGCGCCAGAATGCATAAAATTGACCTAAACGTCTCCTTTTCCTTTTCTGAGTCGATTCTGCATGCTTTAAGTGTGTTTGGTGGCTCAGAACCATCAAAAAACGTTGAAATATAGTTCAAATTCAATAAAAATCGACAAAAATACAGTTTCTAGCTAAAATTTGATGGTTTCGTTGCACTTTCCGAGCCCGTAGGGTATCTGATTGGCTTAAAAGTACAAGAAAACACTTCAAAAGTGACGTTCCTGAAGAATTTTAACAGTTTTCTTGTATCTACGAACGCCAGAATGCATAAAATTGGCCTAAACGTCTCCTTTTCCTATTCTGAGTCGATTCTGCATGCTTTAAGTGTGTTTGGTGGCTCAGAACCATCAAAAAACTTTGAAATATAGTTCAAATTCAATAAAAATCGACAAAAATACAGTTTCTAGCTAAAATTTGATGGTTTCGTTGCACTTTCCGAGCACGTAGGGTATCTGATTGGCTTAAAAGTACAAGAAAACACTTCAAAAGTGACGTTTCTGAAGAATTTTAACAGTTTTCTTGTATCTACGAACGCCAGAATGCATAAAATTGACCTAAACGTCTCCTTTTCCTATTCTGAGTCGATTCTGCATGCTTTAAGTGTGTTTGGTGGCTCAGAACCATCAAAAAACGTTGAAATATAGTTCAAATTCAATAAAAATCGACAAAAATACAGTTTCTAGCTATAATTTGATGGTTTCGTTGCACTTTCCGAGCCCGTAGGGTATCTGATTGGCTTAAAAGTACAAGAAAACACTTCAAAAGTGACGTTTCTGAAGAATTTTAACAGTTTTCTTGTATCTACGAACGCCAGAATGCATAAAATTGACCTAAACGTCTCCTTTTCCTATTCTGAGTCGATTCTGCATGCTTTAAGTGTGTTTGGTGGCTCAGAACCATCAAAAAACTTTGAAATATAGTTCAAATTCAATAAAAATCGACAAAAATACAGTTTCTAGCTAAAATTTGATGGTTTCGTTGCACTTTCCGAGCCCGTGGGGTCTCTGATTGGCTTAAAAGTACAAGAAAACACTTCAAAAGTGACGTTTCTGAAGAATTTTAACAGTTTTCTTGTATCTACGAACGCCAGAATGCATAAAATTGACCTAAACGTCTCCTTTTCCTATTCTGAGTCGATTCTGCATGCTTTAAGTGTGTTTGGTGGCTCAGAACCATCAAAAAACTTTGAAATATAGTTCAAATTCAATAAAAATCGACAAAAATACAGTTTCTAGCTAAAATTTGATGGTTTCGTTGCACTTTCCGAGCCCGTAGGGTATCTGATTGGCTTAAAAGTACAAGAAAACACTTCAAAAGTGACGTTCCTCAAGAATTTTAACAGTTTTCTTGTATCTACGAGCGCCAGAATGCATAAAATTGACCTAAACGTCTCCTTTTCCTTTTCTGAGTCGATTCTGCATGCTTTAAGTGTGTTTGGTGGCTCAGAACCATCAAAAAACGTTGAAATATAGTTCAAATTCAATAAAAATCGACAAAAATACAGTTTCTAGCTAAAATTTGATGGTTTCGTTGCACTTTCCGAGCCCGTAGGGTATCTGATTGGCTTAAAAGTACAAGAAAACACTTCAAAAGTGACGTTCCTGAAGAATTTTAACAGTTTTCTTGTATCTACGAACGCCAGAATGCATAAAATTGGCCTAAACGTCTCCTTTTCCTATTCTGAGTCGATTCTGCATGCTTTAAGTGTGTTTGGTGGCTCAGAACCATCAAAAAACGTTGAAATATAGTTCAAATTCAATAAAAATCGACAAAAACACAGTTTCTAGCTAAAATTTGATGGTTTCGTTGCACTTTCCAAGCCCGTAGGGTATCTGATTGGCTTAAAAGTACAAGAAAACACTTCAAAAGTGACGTTTCTGAAGAATTTTAACAGTTTTCTTGTATCTACGAACGCCAGAATGCATAAAATTGACCTAAACGTCTCCTTTTCCTATTCTGAGTCGATTCTGCATGCTTTAAGTGTGTTTGGTGGCTCAGAACCATCAAAAAACGTTGAAATATAGTTCAAATTCAATAAAAATCGACAAAAATACAGTTTCTAGCTAAAATTTGATGGTTTCGTTGCACTTTCCGAGCCCGTAGGGTATCTGATTGGCTTAAAAGTACAAGAAAACACTTCAAAAGTGACGTTTCTGAAGAATTTTAACAGTTTTCTTGTATCTACGAACGCCAGAATGCATAAAATTGACCTAAACGTCTCCTTTTCCTATTCTGAGTCGATTCTGCATGCTTTAAGTGTGTTTGGTGGCTCAGAACCATCAAAAAACGTTGAAATATAGTTCAAATTCAATAAAAATCGACAAAAATACAGTTTCTAGCTAAAATTTGATGGTTTCGTTGCACTTTCCGAGCCCGTAGGGTATCTGATTGGCTTAAAAGTACAAGAAAACACTTCAAAAGTGACGTTTCTGAAGAATTTTGACAGTTTTCTTGTATCTACGAACGCCAGAATGCATAAAATTGACCTAAACGTCTCCTTTTAAATAAATAATAAATAAATAAATAATAAATTTATTGCCCAACAGAAATTAATTCCATTTACAGGACAATACGTATAATAATTACTCTTACTGCAGTTCCCACAACTTAATTTACAATTACTCTAGTAAAAACTAAAATTAATAATAATAAAAATAAAACTAAAAATAAAATATAAAAATGAAAGTACAAGTACCAAACTTCCTAAACCACATTCTTAATTTAAAAAAAAATCTATAAATTCAATTAGCATAACTCATTACATTAACAAATTATTATACATATCTTTTAAAACTAATCTCAATGCTCTAGTACTTAAAAAGTTCACATCATAATCACTTAACTCATTAACATATTTTGATATTACAGAAAATGGCGCTTTTAAACCTACATTAGTATTTGAGACATAAGGATATAAAATTGTATTATTTCTAGAACTCATTCTCGGTACTGCAAATCTCACTAAATTTAATAATTTTGAACAATCAATTTTGTTGTTAACTAGTTTATGAAAAAACAATACAGCAGAAATTATCCTTCGGCATTGTAATGATTCCATATTGAACATTTTCAGCAATTGTTGTTGGGAGCAATTTCTATTTGGCCACATTTTTAAGCTCTTGTGATATAAAACTTTTAAAAATTTTCGTTGAACTTTTTCCAAAGCTATTTTTGGCTGATTGTAATATGGAAACCACACAAGAGAGCAGTATTCAAGTCTGGATCTTATGAGTGAATTATAAAGTGATTTTAAAGATTTTATATCATTTATGTCTTTACAATTTCTAGTCACGAAACCTAACGTTTTATATGATTTCTCAATTAAGTTGTTAACATGACCATTAAAATCAAGTTTTGCGTCAAATACAACTCCTAAATCCTCAAAAGATGTTTTCCTAGCGATTGATTGATTAGATATTTTATAATCAAAAATATGTTGATTAAAGCAACGTGTAAATGAAATGACTGCACACTTAGGAATATTTAAAGAAATTCCGTTTAACATACACCACTTATGAAGAATTTCAATTAAATGCTGTAGAATGCTACAATCATCAATTGTTACTATCTCATGATACAGCTTAATATCATCAGCATACATAAGTGAATGAGTGTTTAGTGCAAGCGCTAAATCATTGACATAAATATTGAAAAGCACAGGTCCTAAATTGGATCCCTGTGGAACACCGGATGTAGAAAAATAAGGTGCTGACACAAATCCATTTAAAGTTACAAAGTTTTTCCTGTTAAATAAATAAGATTTAAAAAAATCAACTAATGCACATGAGAGACCAAGTTTTGACATTTTACTCAACAATAATTCATGATTGACTTTGTCAAAAGCCTTAGACATATCTGTATAAATGACGTCTATTTGTCCTCTTTTGTCCAAGACTTCAGCAATTGTTTGCGTCATACATGTTAAATTTGTTAACGTGGATCGTCCACTAAAAAATCCATGCTGGTTTTCAGAGAAAATATTTTTTAAATCAAAGGATATTTGGCTGTAGATTAACGTTTCAAAAACCTTAGAAAAATTAGATAGAATAGAAATTGGTCGATAATTAGCAACATCTGAGATATCGCCTTTCTTATACATAGGTATTACTTTGCTGTTTTTCCATATCTCAGGATACGTTGACGTCTTAATTGACAATTGGAAAATGTAAAGTAGAGGTTTAACAAATACTCCGGCACAGTCCTTAACTAGGAATGATGGTATTTTATCACTCCCCGCCACCTGGTTGTTCTTTAGTCTTTTTATCGATTTGATAATTTCTTCTTCATTCACACTGATATTCATTAACTGATTTATGCTATGTGAGTCATTACCGTCTATGGACTGGTTAGATTTTGACGTGTAAACAGAACTGAAATAAGTAGCAAAAGCATTGGCAATATCCATAGGTTTATCAAATGTAGTGTCTGCCAAATTCACAGTACCAGGAACAGAAGTTTGACCTTTACGTTCTTTAACAAAAGTCCAAAACTTTTTGGGATCTTTCGATAGTGTTTGTTGCATATTTAAAATATAGGTTTGATAATCTTCTCTAATAAGGCGCTTTACTTGTTTTCTAAGATCAGAATATTTCAGATAGTTCTCAGCAGTGCGATTTTTCCTATAGACTAGGTATAATTTTTCCTTGAACTTAATTTTTTTTTTTAGGTTGGTAGTATACCACTTAGGAAATGCACCATTTATATGTTTAACTACCGGCACATGTTTATCAATAATATTATAAAGAGTTTTATAAAAAACATCACAAGCCATATTAACGTCATCATAATTTTTAAGGAAGGACCAGTCAATATCCAGTAGTTCAGAGTATAACAGTGGGTAATTACCTTTCTTAAAGTTATAAATTTTTGAACTATAACAAGTGGGGAACAAGGAATGCGATACATCTTTTAAATCTACAGTAATATTAAGACAAGGATGATAACGATCTTCGTCCACTAATGGAAAAGTTTCTCGATATACATTGCTAGAGGTAAAGTTGAAAAAAACCAAATCTAAAATGCAGCCGAAGCTATTACGTATTAAATTATGTTGTTTTAAATTCAATAAATTTACGAAGGTGGCCATTATCTTAGATTTAGAGCAATTCATGCCATCACTAAATTTAGGTACGTTAAAATCCCCAATTATAAGTAGATTTGACTTTCCATAACATATATTTTCAAGCTGATCAATAAACAATTCAAAGTCAGAGACAGAAACATCAGGAGGAATATATACTACAATTATATAAATTGTTTTCTCAGGGTACTGAATTGTACATGCAGTTATGTCAATTAAGTCAATATTGTTAACAAATTGGGTCTCTAACTTTACTGATTTTAAATTCTTATTGACAGCAATGAGAACACCGCCACCTCTTGTACGTCCGGTAGAAATAAAATCACGATCTGACCTAAAAATATTATAATTATTGGGAAACAATTCTGAATTCATAATAGACGAATCAAGCCAAGTTTCTGTCAAACATACCACATCGAACTCACAATCAGAAATATTAATATAAAAATCATTAACTTTTGTTTTAAGTCCGCGTGCATTTTGGTAGATAATTTTTAGGTTCCTATTGGGCAAAGTCAGTTTAAAGAATTATTCGAAGTAACAATCTGTGGAATATTATTGATATACTTAATGGTGATATTATTTTCTCCAGCGGCGACACGTTGATGTAATTCATTTCGGAGGTCCTTAAGTTGATTGAGTTGCATTCTTGTTTTATCACCTTGTATCTTAACGTTCTTAAACTGAGATTGGTTAAGACGGTGTTTATTTTTCAGAACCAAGCGAGACTTCTCCACAGTTTTAAATTTAATTTGCAACAAGCGCGGTTTCGTGGATTTAGAGTTGACACTACCTAGTCTCAAAACATTGTCCGGAGAGACCACTGCAGATTCATCAACAATAGCCAAAATATCATTTGCGATGTCTACGTCATTTTTACAAGGATCTTCAGGAACGTTCATCATTATGATGTTACACGATTTATGACTGCGCTCTACAGCCTCTTGGATCATCATCTCTTGAGAATGTAAATTAACTGCCGACTTGCATGATTTTTCCAGGTTGGTTAAACGAGTGTCAATTTTAGTCATAAAATCATTAAGCATGGTTTTAATTTCCCCAACAGCATTTGATGTAAAATTGCAACGATTGCACAATAATTTAATGCAAGGTGAACGTGATACGGAAAAAAATTCAATTTCTTCTTTTGACAGTTTAGTGCATTTGAGGTGTAGGGGTAGTTCACAACCACCACAAACAACAAAAGCACCAGCAGCATTAGTGAAACAATGACAGCAATTTCCATTCATTCTTGTGTTTGAGATTAATAACAGACTTATCAGGTGCTGATTGTACACAAAAGCAGCTTTAATAGCAGTACCCCAGTGGCACTACTACAATACTGCTAATACAGGAACGGGATGTAATAATTGATGGAAATCCAAGTAAGCCAGCTCGACGAGTTTATCTTACCTGGAGCGATTAGAAGCGATAAAGTTTTTGCACTAAAAAATTCAAGATATCACACTCGACACACAAAATTCGATATTGTGCACAAACTAATGAATTTAAAGAAAAACCGATTTTCAAAATTGATAATACGCATCACAAGGCACAGTTTGGTACAAGATAGTATTTTACCAGTAAAAGTAAACCATGAAAATATCACTTAAAACGATGAGCAAAATAAACGTGACCGATTTTAACGTGGCGTAGGTCAATTCAATATTTTTTTCCTATTCTGAGTCGATTCTGCATGCTTTAAGTGTGTTTGGTGGCTCAGAACCATCAAAAAACGTTGAAATATAGTTCAAATTCAATAAAAATCGACAAAAATACAGTTTCTAGCTAAAATTTGATGGTTTCGTTGCACTTTCCGAGCCCGTAGGGTATCTGATTGGCTTAAAAGTACAAGAAAACACTTCAAAAGTGACGTTTCTGAAGAATTTTAACAGTTTTCTTGTATCTACGAACGCCAGAATGCATAAAATTGACCTAAACGTCTCCTTTTCCTATTCTGAGTCGATTCTGCATGCTTTAAGTGTGTTTGGTGGCTCAGAACCATCAAAAAACGTTGAAATATAGTTCAAATTCAATAAAAATCGACAAAAATACAGTTTAAGAATTTTAACAGTTTTCTTGTATCTACGAACGCCAGAATGCATAAAATTGACCTAAACTTCTCCTTTTCCTATTCTGAGTCGATTCTGCATGCTTTAAGTGTGTTTGGTGGCTCAGAACCATCAAAAAACGTTGAAATATAGTTCAAATTCAATAAAAATCGACAAAAATACAGTTTCTAGCTAAAATTTGATGGTTTCGTTGCACTTTCCGAGCCCGTAGGGTATCTGATTGGCTTAAAAGTACAAGAAAACACTTCAAAAGTGACGTTTCTGAAGAATTTTAACAGTTTTCTTGTATCTACGAACGCCAGAATGCATAAAATTGACCTAAACGTCTCCTTTTCCTATTCTGAGTCGATTCTGCATGCTTTAAGTGTGTTTGGTGGCTCAGAACCATCAAAAAACGTTGAAATATAGTTCAAATTCAATAAAAATCGACAAAAATACAGTTTCTAGCTAAAATTTGATGGTTTCGTTGCACTTTCCGAGCCCGTAGGGTATCTGATTGGCTTAAAAGTACAAGAAAACACTTCAAAAGTGACGTTTCTGAAGAATTTTAACAGTTTTCTTGTATCTACGAACGCCAGAATGCATAAAATTGACCTAAACGTCTCCTTTTCCTATTCTGAGTCGATTCTGCATGCTTTAAGTGTGTTTGGTGGCTCAGAACCATCAAAAAACGTTGAAATATAGTTCAAATTCAATAAAAATCGACAAAAATACAGTTTCTAGCTAAAATTTGATGGTTTCGTTGCACTTTCCGAGCCCGTAGGGTATCTGATTGGCTTAAAAGTACAAGAAAACACTTCAAAAGTGACGTTTCTGAAGAATTTTAACAGTTTTCTTGTATCTACGAACGCCAGAATGCATAAAATTGACCTAAACGTCTCCTTTTCCTATTCTGAGTCGATTCTGCATGCTTTAAGTGTGTTTGGTGGCTCAGAACCATCAAAAAACGTTGAAATATAGTTCAAATTCAATAAAAATCGACAAAAATGCAGTTTCTAGCTAAAATTTGATGGTTTCGTTGCACTTTCCGAGCCCGTAGGGTATCTGATTGGCTTAAAAGTACAAGAAAACACTTCAAAAGTGACGTTTCTGATGAATTTTAACAGTTTTCTTGTATCTACGAACGCCAGAATGCATAAAATTGACCTAAACGTCTCCTTTTCCTATTCTGAGTCGATTCTGCATGCTTTAAGTGTGTTTGGTGGCTCAGAACCATCAAAAAACGTTGAAATATAGTTCAAATTCAATAAAAATCGACAAAAATACAGTTTCTAGCTAAAATTTGATGGTTTCGTTGCACTTTCCGAGCCCGTAGGGTATCTGATTGGCTTAAAAGTACAAGAAAACACTTCAAAAGTGACGTTTCTGAAGAATTTTAACAGTTTTCTTGTATCTACGAACGCCAGAATGCATAAAATTGACCTAAACGTCTCCTTTTCCTATTCTGAGTCGATTCTGCATGCTTAAAGGGGACGTTTAGGTCAATTTTATGCATTCTGGCGTTCGTAGATACAAGAAAACTGTTAAAATTCTTCAGAAACGTCACTTTTGAAGTGTTTTCTTGTACTTTTAAGCCAATCAGATACCCTACGGGCTCGGAAAGTGCAACGAAACCATCAAATTTTAGCTAGAAACTGTATTTTTGTCGATTTTTATTGAATTTGAACTATATTTCAACGTTTTTTGATGGTTCTGAGCCACCAAACACACTTAAAGCATGCAGAATCGACTCAGAATAGGAAAAGGAGACGTTTAGGTCAATTTTATGCATTCTGGCGTTCGTAGATACAAGAAAACTGTTAAAATTCTTCAGAAACGTCACTTTTGAAGTGTTTTCTTGTACTTTTAAGCAATCAGATACCCTACGGGCTCGGAAAGTGCAACGAAACCATCAAATTTTAGCTAGAAACTGTATTTTTGTCGATTTTTATTGAATTTGAACTATATTTCAACGTTTTTTGATGGTTCTGAGCCACCAAACACACTTAAAGCATGCAGAATCGACTCAGAATAGGAAAAGGAGACGTTTAGGTCAATTTTATGCATTCTGGCGTTCGTAGATACAAGAAAACTGTTAAAATTCTTCAGAAACGTCACTTTTGAAGTGTTTTCTTGTACTTTTAAGCCAATCAGATAACCAACGGGCTCGGAAAGTGCAACGAAACCATAAAATTTTAGCTAGAAACTGTATTTTTGTCGATTTTTATTGAATTTGAACTATATTTCAACGTTTTTTGATGGTTCTGAGCCACCAAACACACTTAAAGCATGCAGAATCGACTCAGAATAGGAAAAGGAGACGTTTAGGTCAATTTTATGCATTCTGGCGTTCGTAGATACAAGAAAACTGTTAAAATTCTTCAGAAACGT